TCTCTCTCTCTCTCTCTCTCTCTCTCTCTCTCTCTCTCTCTCTCTCTCTCTCTCTCTCTCTCTCTCTCTCTCTCTCTCTCTCTCTCTCTCTCTCTCTCTCTCTCTCTCTCTCTCTCTCTCTCTCTCTCTCTCTCTCTCTCTCTCTCTCTCTCTCTCTCTCTCTCTCTCTCTCTCTCTCTCTCTCTCTCTCTCTCTCTCTCTCTCTCTCTCTCTCTCTCTCTCTCTCTCTCTCTCTCTCTCTCTCTCTCTCTCTCTCTCTCTCTCTCTCTCTCTCTCTCTCTCTCTCTCTCTCTCTCTCTCTCTCTCTCTCTCTCTCTCTCTCTCTCTCTCTCTCTCTCTCTCTCTCTCTCTCTCTCTCTCTCTCTCTCTCTCTCTCTCTCTCTCTCTCTCTCTCTCTCTCTCTCTCTCTCTCTCTCTCTCTCTCTCTCTCTCTCTCTCTCTCTCTCTCTCTCTCTCTCTCTCTCTCTCTCTCTCTCTCTCTCTCTCTCTCTCTCTCTCTCTCTCTCTCTCTCTCTCTCTCTCTCTCTCTCTCTCTCTCTCTCTCTCTCTCTCTCTCTCTCTCTCTCTCTCTCTCTCTCTCTCTCTCTCTCTCTCTCTCTCTCTCTCTCTCTCTCTCTCTCTCTCTCTCTCTCTCTCTCTCTCTCTCTCTCTCTCTCTCTCTCTCTCTCTCTCTCTCTCTCTCTCTCTCTCTCTCTCTCTCTCTCTCTCTCTCTCTCTCTCTCTCTCTCTCTCTCTCTCTCTCTCTCTCTCTCTCTCTCTCTCTCTCTCTCTCTCTCTCTCTCTCTCTCTCTCTCTCTCTCTCTCTCTCTCTCTCTCTCTCTCTCTCTCTCTCTCTCTCTCTCTCTCTCTCTCTCTCTCTCTCTCTCTCTCTCTCTCTCTCTCTCTCTCTCTCTCTCTCTCTCTCTCTCTCTCTCTCTCTCTCTCTCTCTCTCTCTCTCTCTCTCTCTCTCTCTCTCTCTCTCTCTCTCTCTCTCTCTCTCTCTCTCTCTCTCTCTCTCTCTCTCTCTCTCTCTCTCTCTCTCTCTCTCTCTCTCTCTCTCTCTCTCTCTCTCTCTCTCTCTCTCTCTCTCTCTCTCTCTCTCTCTCTCTCTCTCTCTCTCTGAGCCAGTTATGAGTACTGCCTGTCTCGCCCGTTCACCCTTTTCATCGATTTACGAAAATATTTAACGTTATCTTATTTTGCTGTTAAAAATGTTTATAACATTATAGTAATTATAATGTTTATAATAAAAGTAACACCATCTATTTTTATAGCACTAGTAAAAATACGTTTTTCGTGCAAATTCAAGGAAAGGTGAAATCCTTTATGGCTAAGCACTAGTAGAGCCATCCAGTAACAGGGACATTTCACAAAAATATAAAAATATGAGCACAGAATTTCCCCTATTTTTTATTCATTTTCTCCATCGAGAAAGGGTTAAGTAAGAAAGGTCTTCCTTTTTGATGATATTTCTATATATCACTCTAGCTAGTGTACATTAGTTTATTGAGGTACTTTTTTTTTTATTATTATATCATTTCATCCATTTCTTTCATTCCAGATTCACCAATGAACCATACAGACGTGAGCAATGCGTTGTGCATGAGAAACAACCCATAGCCTCCTCAAACGTGTCATGGAGGGCTACCCTTCAAAGGCACAAGGGGACGCTTTTGATCAGGGGAATCCCTCTCAGCACTTCGGTTCGGCAGCAACAGCCGTTCCTGCCACACAGCCCATTAACGCTGCCGTGACCTTTATAAGCCAGACACACTCCTCATCTGGGCAAGTAAGTTCGAGTTGAGTTTTGTTGTTTGTTGACTGGCGATGCCCTGAGATGCTGAAATGGCAGAAAATTTGATGACTTGGTAAACTTTTTAAATTTTTTTTCAGTTCTTTCTTTCTTTATATTAATGACTGAATGTTGGGTATTAGAGGAGTTATAAGTGAAAATGTGATTACAGAAACTTACCAGTAATAAGGTATGTAAAAGTAGTTACTTCAAGATAACTAGATATATATGTGAAGTATACTACACATTGCAAGAGATTTTAAAAATAAAGTTTAGTAAGGCCAAGCCTAAGAGACATTGAATAGCCCATAATATGGTAAAAAGAAATTGATTCTATGATTGATATACTTTTAAACAATAGTTGTCAGTATTGAGCTTTCATATTTTTACTTCTCCAGAACACTAGACGGAAGTAAGTTAGTGCTTCTTGTATTACCTAACAGCATATATATAATGCAAATTTATTTCCTATGATGACATGTGCATAATTTGCTTCAGAATAGTTAAAAAGTTGTTAAGAGTTATAATGTTGCCACCTAAGATTAAGATTAATTAGGATATGGGAATCTGTTTTTTTTTTTTTTTTTTTTTTTTTTTCTTTTTTTTTTCTTTCTTTCTTTCTTTCTTTCTTTTTCTTCTACTTAGCCTGATTAAAAAAAAAATGTCTTTAGGTTGCTTGTAAATTTAAAAATATATGCAATTTATGCTGCTCATGCTTTATTTTATGGTTGATCACTATCATATTATACTTGACTAGAATCAAGTTAGTGTAAAAGGAAGTTTGTAGTTACCCCTCCAAATTTAAATATGTTCTTTAAATCACTTGGTTTTGCTTAATTTTCTAAAGTATATAGTAATATGTTCATGTAGACTGCCTACACCTCAGAGCTATGTGCAGATTTAGTGGAGTTCAGGTACAGCTGCCATGAAAAATAAATGCATTTTAGAGAGAAGTGTTGTTGTTGTTGTTGTTGTTTTTTAATCTCTTTATGTGTAATGGTAATTAGTATATTTATCAAACATTCAGTTTTGTAGAATGTATATGACAAAGATAATATGTTTTTTCTCTTACTTATATCAGCTACTGAAATGATATATTTACCACCTGTTCATATCCTGAAAGATGTAAGCCATCTGTGCTTGTCATGAAAGGAATTTGCCATCTAGTTGTTACGATGGACATTTACCAGCTGTGCTTGCTTTAGTCATGGCTCAGTGAAACCTGATACCCCAGAGAGAAAGTTTGTATGTTGTTTATTGATGTCTCAGTAACTTGATTATAGAAGTGTACTTTTTTATATGTGTATGTAATATTTTATGGTCAGATTTTTTATGGTTGTAGTGAAACCCATTTAAGTAGAAAGTGAGGAAAATAGGAGTGACATTTTTATGCTTGTGTCTAGCTTTTGTTGAAACAAATTCCAAACTACTCTCATAATTAAATTGTGTGAAGCTCGTTAGGTGGTTGAACTGTTGGAATATAGTTACTGACAGTCTGCTTCTCAGAAATTGGAAAGGGAAAGTAAAGTTATATTTTTCCTTATGATCCAAAATACATAATTCCATGAAAGGAATTTTTGTTAAATGAATATTAGCTAGAGTTTCATCTAGTGTTCATATTTTCAATGTTTTAAACACTGAAATGGATAGCTATATTAAGAAAAAAACAATAATGGAGCATTTTTTCTGCATAAACTCTTTTACATTAACCCATTGCCGCCGAGGATGGCATGTACATACATGCCATGCCCACTGTGAGTCGACTTGTTCGATTGTTTTTACACATGGATGGCTACACTTGTACTAAGTATCCAATGAGCCAATTACGAGTACTGCCTGCCATGCCCGTTCACCCTTTTCATCGATTTACGAAAATACTTAACGTTATCCTAATTTGATGTTAAAAATAACACAATTTATATTTATAGGACTAGTAAAAATAATTTTTTTCCTGCCAATTCAAGGAAAGGTGAAATCAGGACTAGCAGAGCCATCTATGGACAGAGATATTTCACAAAAATATAAAAAATGAGTACTGCATTTCCCCCATTTTTTGTTCATTTTCCCCGGCGGCAATGGGTTAAGCCACTGAATAGCTGAATTTTAATAGGTACCTAGAACTATTTTTAGTTTACCCTCCCCAACAGCTGGAGGGTAACGCAGGAGTAATGGCCACCCCAGGGACAAGCCTCCAAGACGACTTCAGGGGGGAAGCAAGTGTGGGGGGGAGCACAGGACGTAAGAAGAAGAAGAAGCAGAAGAGCGGGGAAGAGGCGTCGGGAAATTCGGGCAAACCTGACCTGATGGAAGAGGATGAGCTCGTTGATGCTGCGATTCCAATGCTAGCCGAGAATCAAGGTTGGTTGGCCATTCTGTTTCCTTATCTTAGAGTATCATTATAGGTATAAGAAATAGCTACAAAGACAAGGAGAAAATTCTAGTAGAGATAAGAGTCGCTTAAAGGCAATGTCCAGTTATACAAAACAATCTTGTGGTTCTAATCTTTCAGGTGTAGAAGAGCTGTTGTATCCTGCCTCACTGCCCCCTGCAGGTGGGACGTTAGTTGGGGGTCAGTACCTGCTGAACAATGCCCTTCTGGATCAGATCCTTGCGGAGAAGAAAATGGTGAGGGCCTTCTGGCTTAATTGTTGGTCTAGATTAGTAGAGAAGTTGTTTTAAAGCAGGTCTTTAAGGAATAGTATATTACTAAGCTCACATTATTTTGAGTGTGTGTGTGTGTGTGTGTGTGTGTGTGTGTGTGTGTGTGTGTGTGTGTGTGTGTGTGTGTGTGTGTGTGTGTGTGTGTGTGTGTGTGTCTGTGTGTCTGTCTGTCTGTCTGTGTCTGTGCATGTTTGCGTGTGCGTGTATGTCTGTGAGTGTGGGAGGGGAGTGGGTGTATATGTGTGTGTGTGTGTGTGTTGGTGTGACATTTTTTTTATTATTTCCATGCAGAGAAAGTATATAAAGACAATAGGTACATGGTGGGATGCAGTGATCAGTATTTATTTATCTATTTTTATTATTATTATATATTTATTTATTTATTTTTTTCTTGTTCTTCTTGCTCTGCAATATTGACCCCATGCTAAACATGATGTAACACTTTCATATAGCACCGAGTTATGTAGAATAGTAAACACTGGTATAAATTACATACAATTTTCTTCTGTCATATCACTGCCGTTTCATCATCTCTCTCTCCTATTGTGATTATGTTGACTTTGGTGTCCATGTGTATGTATGAGGGATATAATTCAGTGCTATTATTTTAAGAAGTATATGGGCTAATTTTTCTTGTTATTATTGCAGCAACTCATGCAAAGTCCAGAAGTGATGGAGTTCTTGAAGAAGCAAATAGGAATAGCGAAGAAATGAGAAAAATCTGCCATGTTAGATACAGATGGCTTTGTGTGAGAAAGTTTTTTTCTTTTCTTTTGTACTGTATAGCTTTGCCTTCTATTTATAACTGGATAATCTTTTGGTAAAGCTTTGCTTGGTGTCTGATGGTATTGGCTATTTGGAAATATTCCAAAAGATAGCTGGTACATTTATTGGGGCTATCCTGGTTTTTCTATTGTTTGTTTGATCAAAGTCATATTTATACAACTTGACTGGGATACCTACGGCCAAAATTAAGATTTTTTTCCTATATATATTATTTTTTGTAGTTAATTCCATTTTCACTGCCCTTGTACTTTGACTGCCTTTAATAGTTCTTTTTATAAGACATAAATCTCCAAAGAGGTTTTTACCTTAAAGCCAACACTTTTGGATCCCTTCTTAATATTTTAATTACTTTGGTGATAAACTCATGGTATATAGAAGAATTATAACACAATTGCAATCACTAATACAGTTTTTGCTACCAAGTTTGGAGATGCTATCAGATGAAAAATTACACCTCTATGATTAGAAATTTGTATAACTCACTTGTGGCTTTTTAAACACATTTTCCATTTTCTATGGTTTTCATGGTCAAATAATACAATAAGGTCTATTTTTTTCTGATTTTATTGCTTGCAGGATTACATCAGGCTGGGGTGTCATGAGGTACCACCTCACTCATGGCTGCCAGCTTATCAATGGACATTAGCTGTGGGTGAGGGTACAGGCTCGTTGATGTACAGGGATCTCTGGATTTTTTTTGCCAAGCATAATTTCTTCCGATTACATAGCATTGGCTCCTCTCCCTTTGCCTCAGTATGCCTCACGAAGCACAGGATAGAAGGCATAATTGGAAAGCGGAAGATGGTCCTTCAGATTGCCCCCTGTATGTAGAAACACCAGTCTTGGCTGTCTCATTGAGTTGTATAGTAGCTTGTAAGCTTTGCACAACCTTGGATACTTCTTTAGATTGTCTTGCCTCTCTTAGTTGTGATGTAACAATATGGTAGTATTGAATTTCTTCAGTTGAATGTGACTTTAGAGATCAGTTAAGCAATTGTGTATTATCCTTTGGTAAGCCTTTGGTTTTAGGTTTTACTTTTTCCTTGATATGCCTGTGTGTCTCAGGATTTCTATATCATCAAGTATGGACTTTGATTTGTGTTTTTTATTTTACTCTTGTGTTTATTTTTTTACTCTTGCAAGTGAGACAGTAGTTGGCATGGTATTGCAAATGAGGTGAAAATTTTGAATGTAGGAGATGGGCATATGAATGACTAAGGAGATTATTATAACAGCAGATTATAACAGATTATTATAACCTATATACTGCTTTGTGATTCCTCTGTAGCTGAACATTGGATTACTGTGTGCACTGTTTTCAGAGGACACTGATAAATGGCCTGATTGATTTGCATTTCTGTATAGTATTTTCTCATGTTGGAAACTGCCTGTCTTACAGTGTTGGCCTCTTCATCATTTGCATTTAGTTAGTCTTTCCCTTCCTGTGATTGCGAGAAGAGGGAGTGGTTTTCCCCTCGGCATAGCTCCAGCTTACAAGTTGACAAAGAATTTCTTCAGATTGTTTTTACAAGTAATTTAGACGGAAGTAATTAATTAGTGGTATTGTCTAAAAGCAAATTCTAATACTTATTTGTGTAAGCAGAGCCTTACCATGAGAACAATAACAATATACCTAAAAAAAATAATAATAATAAAAAAAAAAAACAGGTTTGAGTGGGTGTTACAACAAAATAAAAGGCTAGCTGTTGCCAAAGTTTAAATTTACCACATTGCAAAACCCTTTTCCAGTTGTTTGCTCATAGTGTGAATGTTTGTCATATGCCGGTTATAGAAGTTGTTGTCATACAATTTTTCTTGTGCATGGTGGGTTTTGCTGCCAAATTGTTGCAATATCAGATTTTTTAATGCACAATTACTTGACATTTTTATCCCTCTTTTTACTATGTCCTTTCCCAAAATTGTACATTTTTCTTCTGCACTAAACACTTAACATAAATTAGAGATATTAATAATATGAATATACCAAGTGAGGATATTAACTTCAAAATATGAATTGTAGTAGAGACAGTACAAATCAGGAAATACTAACTAAGCACAGAATATATATTACAAACAGAATACCAAATTCAGTACAGAATGTATTGATATATTGTGGGAAACAACACAGCTTCAGCTAACCAATAGTTAACATTTAATCTCTGTGGAATCAAGATAAGAAAAGATTATTCCACACTCTGACTCGTGATTTAAGATATTGGTGCCATGTAATCACACTGTCCATTGTAGTTTTCTTTTGTGCAGTTTGTTTACACATAGATGGCTCCACAAGCCCTGTCACTTAGTAGTCCATGAGTAGGCCAACCTGCCTTCACCTGATATCCCATTTCGTTGAGTTTTGAGGAGATTTGATTTTGTTTTCTAATGTTATTGGTACCAATACTATCATCATTGATCTCAGCAGTACTAAGATCTATGAAAAATAGAAAAGAATCTTTCTAAAACTCAAGGAATAGGTAGGACTACCTATATTCCTTGGTGACTAAGCAGCTGTGGAGCATCTCCGTGTAAACAATTGATAAACAAAAAGCATGATGAACTTGGCATGTTTTTTTGCCATCCAAGCATCATTGAGTTTAGAGATTACTTCAGGTTTTGCAGATGATCGACTACCTCAAGTATTGGTGGTAGAGGTGTATTCAGCAATTGTTAATTTCCCCTTTCCTCAGTGAATTGAGATTTTAAAAGTATTGGTGTTAAAATCACCCTCTCCCTCATAGTGGAGTAATTATTGTCAGTTTTTATGATATAACTTTTTTTTGTAATATGTTTATTATTTGGTAAATTTTGATTTGATAGGTAGTGAAAATAAGAATTACTCATTGTATGGTTATTTCTATTTTTTTGTTGTTATTGTTATTGTTGTTAATATTGATGGTGAGTGCAATAATGATAATAATGATAATGGAAATATTGACTTAATTATTTTTATTATTATTGTTTTGATAAAGTCATTTGACTCTTAGTATTCATATTTTGTAATGAACAATGATAAAATTAAAGTTAAATTTAAGTAGGACCTTCAGTGTAAGCAATTTTTTTCAAGAATATATAACATATGCCGTGAAGTCTTTTGTAGAAAATAATTGAAAGCTATCATATTTTCTAAGGAAATGATGAAAACAAAAAACATGTTGCAAATAGTTTTTGTAAGTAACATTTCACCGTCTTAATTTTTACATTTTGGTCAATACTTTTTTTTTTTTTAAATGCAACTAAATGGAATGGTACAGTGAAAAAGTATTTGATTTACATCATTTTGGTAATTGTATGTACATGAAATTTATTGCAAACTTGTAGCTCTAAGTGTTAGTACCTTCACATTTATTAGAATTCATTGGTTTTCTACTAACTCTGTTATATTTGTATATAATAAGCAATGTCTGTACTTAATATTTTGTATATTATTTATATGTGCATCATAACAGGAAATAAATGTAATTTTTTTTTTTTTGGTCTGTTTTTACCTTATTATATCATCTTACTATTATGGAAATTATATTTGATAAACTGTGAATTTTATTTGTCATCATCACCATCATCAAGTCATTGTATCATGATCGTCATCGTGATCATCATTATTTTGATATCACAAGACAAGGATTTTCTAGATTTTAGATTGATAAGTAATGATTTTGAATGATTTTTTAGTATTCTTATCACATTATCTTTTTGGAAAATTATTGCTAATGGGCTTACTTAATAATCTAATCATTATATTATAGTACAAGTTTCCAATATAAAATCATAATTGCAAGTTTGATTGAATCTCAGGAATGCAAATCAATAATCAATATTATTACAAAATATAATCAGTGTAAATTATAGCAGTTTTGTCTTTTTCTTTTCTCGGAACACGAGGATGTGAGGATAATGATTATGCTACTTTGTTAAAGGATTTTTATTGTTAAAAGGCAGAGGAAGGCACCAGTTTGAAGAATGTTATTATTATTACATATATATATTCTTTTTTTTTGTAAGTTTTATGATACATTACTAAACTTGTGCGGCTTTTCAAAAATTTGGGTTTAGCAGTGTGAGAGAGAGAAAAAAAAAAAAATCTTAAAACTAACAACTTTGGCACTAGATATTGGGCCTATAGGCTGTAACATGAAAAAAATCCATGATATAAAAATAACAAACATGAAACAGATATTTATAATTACTTTTGTGCATACTTGTTTCTCTCTAGTTTTAACAAATGTAGCATGAACAAAAAGTCAAAAAATTATAATTTGAAGAAGAGCCAATTCCTTTCTTCCTTTGGACATACAGAAAGCTAATAACAGATTTCAACATTAAAAGAAATACACAAAACAAATGTTCATTTTAATATTGCAAGCATTTAACATTGAGAATCTTCTTGACAGAAAACATGTCATGGCTTTAACAGAGTAAAATGCAATGGTTCCAATAAAGAAATTCTTCTCAAAACCAATTTTTTTTTTTTTGGTCTGTTTTTACCTTATTATATCATCTTACTATTATGGAAATTATATTTGATAAACTGTGAATTTTATTTGTCATCATCACCATCATCAAGTCATTGTATCATGATCGTCATCGTGATCATCATCATTTTGATATCACAAGACAAGGCTTTTCTAGATTTTAGATTGATAAGTAATGATTTTGAATGATTTTTTAGTATTCTTATCACATTATCTTTTTGGAAAATTATTGCTAATGGGCTTACTAATAATCTAATCATTATATTATAGTACAAGTTTCCAATATAAAATCATAATTGCAAGTTTGATTGAATCTCAGGAATGCAAATCAATAATCAATATTATTACAAAATATAATCAGTGTAAATTATAGCAGTTTTGTCTTTTTCTTTTCTCGGAACACGAGGATGTGAGGATAATGATTATGCTACTTTGTTAAGGATTTTTATTGTTAAAAGGCAGAGGAAGGCACCAGTTTGAAGAATGTTATTATTATTACATATATATATTCTTTTTTTTTGTAAGTTTTATGATACATTACTAAACTTGTGCGGCTTTTCAAAAATTTGGGTTTAGCAGTGTGAGAGAGAGAAAAAAAAAAATCTTAAAACTAACAACTTTGGCACTAGATATTGGGCCTATAGGCTGTAACATGAAAAAAATCCATGATATAAAAATAACAAACATGAAACAGATATTTATAATTACTTTTGTGCATTCTTATTTTTCTCTAGTTTTAACAAATGTAGCATGAACAAAAAGTCAAAAAATTTTAATTTGAAGAAGAGCCTATTCCTTTTTTCCTTTGGACATACAGAAAGCTAATAACAGATTTCAACATTAAAAGAAATACACAAAACAAATGTTCATTTTAATATTGCAAGCATTTAACATTTGAGAATCTTCTTGACAGAAAACATGTCATGGCTTTAACAGAGTAAAATGCAATGGTTCCAATAAAGAAATTCTTCTCAAAACCAATTTTTTTTTTTTTTTTTTTTTTTTTTTTTTTTTTTGGTCTGTTTTTACCTTATTATATCATCTTACTATGTATGGAAATTATATTTAATAAACTGTGAATTTTATTTGTCATCATCACCATCATCAAGTCATTGTATCATGATCGTCATCGTGATCATCATCATTTTGACATCACAAGACAAGTATTTTCTAGATTTTAGATTGACAAGTAATGATTTTGAATGATTTTTTAGTATTCTTATCACATTATCTTTTTGGAAAATTATTGCTAATGGGCTTACTCAATAATCTAATCATTATATTATAGTACAAGTTTCCAATATAAAATCATATAATTGCAAGTTTGATTGAATCTCAGGAATGCAAATCAATAATCAATATTATTACAAAATATAATCAGTGTAAATTATAGCAGTTTTGTCTTTTTCTTTTCTCGGAACACGAGGATGTGAGGATAATGATTATGCTACTTTGTTAAAGGATTTTTATTGTTAAAAGGCAGAGGAAGGCACCAGTTTGAAGAATGTTATTATTATTACATAATAAATGCTCCACACAATTAAATGTAGGATTCTGTTACGGAACCACTACTAGGAACAGTTATGGCATACAAAAATACATTATACATGGCTGATAACAATGTAGGTGTGAAGAAAAGAACTTAAATATTTTGTCATTACAATATCCCTTGCAACAGGAAGTAGTCCTGACATTCTTAAAGCTTCTTAGAAGACGGTATATTTTGCCCAATTTCGGAAAGATAAAATATTGTTAATTTGAAAAACAGAGTTCATTTTGCAGTTATTAAGAAAAATAAATATAGATTAGGATGAGTCTGAACTTCTTTTAAAAATTGAAATAAGAGTAAAGCCTGGGTTAATTACATGCAGTTGCCACAAAATTCAAATGTTATTTTCATCTTCACATTTAATTAAAAAAAAAAATAACATGAACATATCTTAAACCATCAAACAAATACTATATCTTCTTCAGTTATGGAAAAACTGTATATTGTATTTTAAAAAAGATATATTTCATCATTTTAATTTGGGGGAAAAAAAAAGTAATTTCTCCTTTCATTATTGCTATACCGAGGAGTCCCATGAGGCACTTGTATTCTCTTCAGATTTTTTTTTATCTCAGTTTTTAACTTACTCTTCCATTCACAACATAATTGCAGAGTACATTCTATCCTCAACAAAAGAACACTGACCAAAACCCAAATAAATCTTTCCCGAGGAAAAGAGAAGGACGGTCGCATCTTGGGTTTCAGCTGGTGACTTCAGTGGGGCTTGCAAATGTTATCCTTAATTTGTGTTCTTGTAGCGTGTGAACAGGTTGTACAGAACACGGAGAGTGGACTTGAGATCAGCATTCACAATGTCTGAAAAGGGAAGTTTATTTATACTCTACCTGAAGTTTGGCATCTGGTAACTGATATTAGAATTAAGCCATTGCTGCAGGGTTTATGTGCTGGTAAATATAGTTTCCTTTTGTGAATTCTGTTTACACATGGTTCTACAAGTCATCAACCACCTGGGAGTCAGTTATTAACCCTACATGACAAATGTATTTTTGCTATTTCAGCATCAGTACAAATTTAAATTTTTCTTTAAATATGTACATAATAAATACAATTTGCATAACAAAATTTCATATATTTCCCCCCCATAGAGTTAAATATCTTTAGTCAATAAACTGTACAAAAAAAACACAGAAATAGAAAAAAAAGATAAATATTTTATTTTCTATAATGAAATAAACAATTCTACATACCCTCAGGTCTTGCTTTAGGCTTAGCCAGACCTGCATCCATCATCAATTCAAATGACTGTGAGACATTGTGCAGCTTCTCGTCAAATGTCTGAAAAGAGTGGAAGATTACTTCACTGGTGAACTATTTCTACTGTGATTTAGTCTTATCTGTAACTACCTTCTAATTCTTGAAATATCAAAATTGTTAAAGAAATGTTCAATAATTCTTGATTAGCTATCATATTTTTAAAATATAAATTGCTATTTGACAAAGAATCAAACAAAATCTACATTCCATTAAAAAAAACAGGCTACTCCCATTCCTCCCACACTCAAACACCTCACACATACACAAAAGGACACCCACCACAGCCCAATATCCATACAAATATACCTCACACACACACACCCAAGCACACACACACACAAAGTGCCAGATGTTACCACTCACCTTGGGCGTCAGGAAGAAGTGGTGCAACGGGACAAAATATCCCTCAAGGAGACCCATGAGGAGGCACAGGTACACGCCGTCATTGAACTCTGTCTCAATGTCGCTCACTTCCAGGTTGATTTTATTCAGCTGCTTGTTGACGAAGGTTACCAGAGACTGAGGGAAGAATATGAGAATAAGATTATTTAGAATAAATGAGGAGGAGGAAAACAGGATAAGGATAAAACCTGAAGAAAACTGACAAATGATAACCTGTGGAAAAGATACTGGAAACTCAAGATATTTGGGATTCTTTAAAAGAAACATTAATACAAAGGATTAAGGTTAAGAATAACTGTCAGAGTAGACAAAATTCAAAGCTAAATGATGAAAGGCACTGAATATAAGAAAATTAACAGATGTGAAAAAATGTATATGTGTATGCTTTTTGTAACTGTGGTGACCTGTAACCTTGCAAACAATAGGTTATATGAAAAGTTAAATAATTCTGCTTGACAGGAACATATTTCTAGATGGTGTTGAATCTGTTAATACTCTCCAGCAGCATTTATCCAAATAATTAAATAGATATAAATATAAATACACAACCAATTATATAAACAAACTAAAACAAGAAATACAAATTTTGTATGCACGGCACATGCAAAATACACTAACCCTCTTGACAACTGCAAGCTTGTCAGGTGCATGATCGAATAAGGTGTCGAAAGCATCTCTCTCGCATCTGAGACCCAAGTCGTCGTACGTGCCTGTCAGCTCTTCCGCCACAATCCGGTGGTTGAGCTGCCCATCACGTTTCTGAATGGTGAGGAAAAGCAAGAAATTTGAAGTTCATTTTCCCTATAGTAGCAAGCAGCAATCTGCTCCTTTCTTAAATCAGATGAGATAATATTTCATGTCTAACAAAATAAATATCAAAAATAATTGGCCAGATGGAAAAAAACACTGAAGAATTGGAAATCCCAATGAGTTGATAAAAGTAAAGAAAAAAAAAAAAAAAAAAAAACAGGCTACTCCCATTCCTCCCACACTCAAACACCTCACACATACACAAAAGGGCACCCCCTACAGCCCAATATCCATACAAATATACCTCACACACACACACACCCAAGCACACACACACACAAAGTGCCAGATGTTACCACTCACCTTGGGCGTCAGGAAGAAGTGGTGCAACGGGACAAAATATCCCTCAAGGAGACCCATGAGGAGGCACAGGTACACGCCGTCATTGAACTCTGTCTCAATGTCGCTCACTTCCAGGTTGATTTTATTCAGCTGCTTGTTGACGAAGGTTACCAGAGACTGAGGGAAGAACATGAGAATAAGATTATTTAGAATAAATGAGGAGGAGAAAACAGGATAAGGATAAAACCTGAAGAAAACTGACAAAATGATAACCTGTGGAAAAGATACTGGAAACTCAAGATATTTGGGATTCTTAAAAAGAAACATTAATACAAAGGATTAAGGTTAAGAATAACTGTCAGAGTAGACAAAATTCAAAGCTAAATGATGAAAGGCACTGAATATAAGAAAATTAACAGATGTGAAAAAATGTATATGTGTATGCTTTTTGTAACTGTGGTGACCTGTAACCTTGCAAACAATAGGTTATATGAAAAGTTAAATAATACTGCTTGACAGGAACATATTCCTAGACAGTGTTGAATCTGTTAATGCTCTCCAGCAGCATTTATCCAAATAATTAAATAGATATAAATATAAATACACAACCAATTATATAAACAAACTAAAACAAGAAATACAAATTTTGTATGCACGGCACATGCAAAATACACTAACCCTCTTAACAACTGCAAGCTTGTCAGGTGCATGATCGAATAAGGTGTCGAAAGCATCTCTCTCGCATCTGAGACCCAAGTCGTCGTAAGTGCCTGTCAGCTCTTCCGCCACAATCCGGTGGTTGAGCTGCCCATCACGTTTCTGCAGGTGAGGAAGACCAAGAAATTTGAAGTTCATTTTCACTGTAGTGGCAAGCAGCAATCTGCTCCTTTCTTAAATCAGATGAGATAACATTTCATGTCTAACAGAAAAATATCAAAAATAATTTGCCAGATGGAAAAAAACACTGAAGAAGTGGAAATCCCAATGAGTTGAT